TCTCTCAACTACTGAATGTTTTTGAATTGACACTGTAACATACATATGATATAGGAGTGTACCCGGGGTATGTGGGGGGAGGGGGGCGGGGGGTGGTGCACCAGCCTTTTTTGTTTTGTATTTGTGTTTTATGTGAGATAATATTCAGAAAATCAATAAAAATTTGAATTACAACAAAAATAAAAATAAATGTATTTATAAATCATTTATATCTTTTGCATGACAACTCCTTTTTGCCACTAGATGGAGCCATTGATCGCTGGTGCTGTCACACCTGTTTGTGTGACAAAAAAGAGAAAGCTTTCCACTATAGATAACTTATGGGCATAGATTTATTGTCTTGTATTTTTCTGTGTGCTGTGCAGTGTTCATATTCTAAGATGCTCCTTTTGTTAGTGGTTAATATGTGATTGACTTTTATTTATATATATCCTGTGGTTCAAAATGGTAATTGGGGAATATTGGAATCTTCTCATCTGAGCGTGGTTATAAATGAATCTCCTCCCATTTCTATCAGTTTGTAGTCATACATGATATACTAACTTCATTTTTGGGGGGTTTTCTGATGCTTTATCTGTGTGTATTTGTATGTGCATGTACAGGTGCAAGTTATGGCCCTTGAAGATCCTTGACATGATTAGGGGGTCCAGCAGGATTCTGGAGACACTGAGCAGCAGCACAGAGCAGCTGATTGAGTCCGGGGCACTGAGCTGGTTTCTATTGTCCCCAGTAATTGGATTTGGTCTGGGTGGAGAGATGACTGCCAGAGAGAGGCTGCAATCATTAGGTGTGAATGAGACGGTGGCAAGGCACAGGACCCATACATACAAATAAAGGTATTGTGTCATTCAAACACAGACTCACGCATGTTCATACTATTCCCAGTCTGATGTTTTTGTGTCAAACCATTTCTAACTGCAGGTGTATGCGTCCTTCACTTTTACAGCCCCTAATCATTGAGACATTGAAACAAACAGAACAACAGTTACCTAACTGCTTTCTACAAGTCAGTCCAACAATGTGAGGAGGGCTGCTTCATGGGTACCAACTGAACAAAATATTACTTTAGTGAAACTGTTTTAACAAGAATCCATCTGACCAACCTCTATCAGTAAACATATTCCTATATAGTTTATAACGGATTGTTTTTTACTTGCAACAATAGCAAAAGATGAGAAAATATGTTATTTTTTTAGTTGAACTAGAACACAATTCTTACTTGTGAGCTCGGACTGCTGAAGAAATGAATGACATCCTTCAGTAACATAGCTATGATGATCATGTTGATTTTTCATCCTCTACTCAAGTTATCAACATGATGTTACAGGAGAGAAATGATAAATCAGTACAGGGTTGAAACTGAGTATTATGAAAGAAACTAAGAAAAGAGTTTAAACAAACTAGTATAGGCAAACATGACCAGTTCCATGATGCTATAATGCTCTCTTTGTTCAGTTTCTTCACATAATATGTCAACTCAAAATGTTTAAATTCTTCAAAGAATAGTCTTGCTTTTTCTGTTTTTTTATTTATTTGTCATTTTACGGTTGCAAAAATCTTATCTGAGCAATTTTAGTGAAAGCCAGCTTAATGTTTATCATATTAAATGCTGTTAAATACTTGAGTAGATAAGCTCTGATTTATTTCCAAAAACACATTAAACAAAATGGGATTTTATTACTGCCTGTTTTTATTTGATGTTATGCTACCCTTTCGAATAACTTACACACTGTAGCCTTTTTATTCTTGATGCCTGTATTTTTTAAAGGTAAAGTCAGATGTGAGTCATCCTCAAGGAAGAGATCAACTCGGATCAACTTAAATAAAAGATAATCTTTTGATTTAACCAGCAAAAGATCTATATACTGGAAGTCAAAAACAGGTGCGAGAACAGCATTCAGGCTTTTTAGTATGAAAACTTTTTCTCAAGTATTATTAAGAAGCAGACTTTTCTGTTTGATGAGTACGTTGTTTGCTTCCCATATCAAGACTTCAACTTCACATAAGAGTGATAACGCACTAGCTCAGAACAGCTGATTTGCATGCAAACCATTGTCCTGTGCGTTTTCCGTTTGTGCACTTCTTATCTAAGTGAGGGAGAAACATCTACTCAGCAAGCACATGCACGTTTCCATGGGGACCATGCAGCCTATCTTATCTTCAATTGCGCATGAGTCAGTCGTGGTAGATGTCTATTGTGTTGTGTGTACTTGGGGGGTCAGGGTGCTGGTTCAAGGGGGGCGAGGGGGAGCAGTATTAAACAACACACTAGACAGATGAAAGCACTGCACATCCTTAAATCTAATCATAATTTTGTCATCAGCAAGAGACTATATGATCAAAATAAAAAGGAAACCGGCAAGACTGACAGGATGGAGAGACCTGAGTGCACGAGTCAAGGGATGGGGGATATGAGATGAGAAATGGTTTCTTGTGGACAGAGATGGCCTTATTCCTTGTGCTGATGCTTATTTGTTGCATCAATCTCTATATCCAGGCACAGGCACTTACCTTAAAAGGATTTCAAAACCCCAGATGCAGCTACATTGCTTCACTGATAGCTGGATTTCAATTCATGTGATGTAAACTTATTATGGATGACATTACAAAAGCTTATTGGCAAATGTTGGCAAATAGATGAAAATGTAGATGAGCTTTTCTCGAACCCACATGAAAGTAGTGAATGTTTTGTTTGTGGATACATAAAGTGTTGAAAAGAATAAAAGAAAAGAATAGTTTAAAATGTTTGTTTTTCGTTGTACAAAAAAATATGCAAGTATAGAAAAGAAAGAAAAGAGAGTATTGCTTCAGTCTACTAGTTTTTGTTGTAGACGAGTATGATCATTATCCCACAACAATGCGGAGGACAAAGTGGAGCCCATTAGCATGACCTGGTCCCGCTCTTCTTCACTTTTTGAACAAATTCAGACAAAGAGCATTCAGAAGCAGACGAGGAGAAGAAGGAGGGGATGTAGAAAGGGTTTTTGGAAGCTGATCATTTCCATGGGATTCTTCCAGCTTATAATATCTAAACAAACTCTGTGTCTGTGACACAGGATTCATTTTTTGTTGTCAATAATAAACATTGACATTATTTCTTCATTTTAAGTAAGACTGGTATTACTGCTCCCAGTGTTATATGGAGCATAAACAAACTTTATTGTTGATTTCATTGATGAATTTTATCTTGCCAAAACCAGGTTCTCATCATTTAGATGAGACTTAATAAACTCCACACAATCTTCAGGGTCCTGGCAGGTGCATGAGAGTTCACCCAAACAGTCCAGCTGTGCTTTGTGGACTTGAAGAGGTGACCAGTCCCTGTGTGACCGGTGCCAGAGCCAGTTTTGCACAACTGACAGTAAATAGGATTAGTTTCTGATAAGGGTTCGACTCCACCAAGACTGCCCTTTGTCACTGATCCTGTTTATAACTATTATGGACCCGCTTAATCCACGTTAAGGATATGTGTTTCTTGGAGTTCTCACAAACTCAGATTCAAACAAATATGTCTATTAAGAACAATGTAAAAATTCATGAGATTTGGTATCCTCAACCACAGAATGGAGTTCAACAATGGTAGATAAAACAATTTCAAACGAAGCACACAGACACACATACACACACATAGAAAAATTAATTAATAAATTAAAAAAAAAAATAAAAAAAAAATATATATATATATATATATATATATATACATACATACATACAGTACATAAAAAAGCTACTGACATAAATATATTCTTCATTTGTTTTTTTCAAGTGGATGTGTGCGGAATCTTATTTTCCAATCCCTAGTTCCTGATCGGGGACTTTTACCCTGAAGGACCGTACAATGACATAATGGTAAACACTTTAAGGTGAGTTTGAATTTATGTTTTGCCGGCAGTGGGTGAGACCAGTTTCACGTCTGAAAAATAACGTTTAGCTCCACTGAGGCTTGATGGCTGCGATCGGAGTCAATGAACGGTATTGTGCTTTATTAAAATGACATTGATCAAGGATGGAGAGCGGCTAGCTTTAGCCGTTAGCTCTCCTCACACCAACCGGGGATGAAAACAGTCCTTATTCATCCAGGCTTAAAAGTTAGAGAGCGAATTCGTTTATTTATTCGTGCATTATTGTACTGAACACACAGAATACGCACGTCATGAAAGCAGTCTGAAATTCTAACCGTGTTTGGCTTCACCTCTGTTCCCTACAGGGATGCTGACTGTGTGCTAGTGGATGCAACAACAAACCAGCAGCTGAACTTTGGCTGGAGGCTGGTTATTTGTTATCTGTTTCGGCTTTTGGGTTAAATATTAACTTTGGACTAAATACTAATCGTATACGTATGGAAATTAGCAGTACACGTGAGGACTAGTTTTTTATTTTTACGGCTCTTTGTTTGAAACAAATTATTTTAAATACTTATTTCATGCTGATCTCTTTTTGTAAACATTCAATCGAAAATATTGTTTACTAAATATTGAGTGTCTCGTGTAACTTATCTTAACTTTTGATAAATGTTATAGGGAATAAACAAACAAAAAAATATATAAAAATATTTAAAAAATGAAAAATAAATAAAATAAACATGCTTTAAATATGGTTTTGACTTTCTGTCCTTTTAGCTGTTATTGTAGCTATGAATGACCACATATCTTGTGATTATTGTAGTTGCTAATAAACAGCTTCTCATCTCTTCACACTGTGTGACTCAAATGTCACAAGTAGAAGCTATTCCAGCTCGAAACAGAGTCACGATGTGCTCCACATAACTTTATATGATGAAGTGTGAGTGAGTCGGATGATTATGAAATTGCTTGACTGCCTAAGGGCAAGTATTTCTATTAAAAGCCAATTAATTAGTTTTAAAGTATGAAACTTCCCTTGGAAAAGCAACCATGACAGTAAGAGAAATACTCTTCTTGCCATGACACAGAACTTGACAAGGGGCCAAAAAAAAAGAAAGAAAAGATTAATATTTTACAAACGTGTAATCAAGCCCATACACACTGTGCTTATTTTTTCTTAGGTTTAATCGAACATACTGTAATACATATTGTACATTTTGAAAACATGTTTTCAGTGATGATAATGTGTTGCTCTCATTCCAGATTTCTTCTGTATTTTATTTCATTTGATTTTTTTACAGGAGAACATTAAAATGTTGTCTTAGACTGGTGAATTCTTCAAATTAGCTGTTTGATTAGCCAATTTTACCGGTGAGGTCCTGTCAGCACTGGCAGGCTGTGCACTGTTAATAGAAAATGATGACGTTCCCTTTTCAGTCCTAGCCAATAAATACAGGAGGCTGTATCCTTTTCAATACTTTTATCAATGCACACAGCAAAAGGGTTATTTGTCTTTTTCCATCCAAACACTGGTGACACCGCATGTTTGACCTTAGGAGTGAGTCTGTCTCATTTGTCACTGAGTGGGTAGGTGACGTCGAGGTGACTTGTCCTGACCTATCATAAACCTACTTTGTACTAAGTGGGAATATAAAATGGATGGAATTGTAGTGGACTGGAGTGTTCTGGGGAATATGCTATGTACTATGTACATAGATCAACTGGAAATGTTGCCTAATAATAACTAAAGTCAATTTAAAATTAGTCCCAGTCTAATTTTCTGTAGATTTTATTATACAGCCCAAACTTAATACCATGAAGATGCGCTATTAGATTTTGATTATGAGAAAAAAAAGACTTTTGAATGCCTGGTGGGGAAATTACAGCATTTACATTTGTCTTCCACCGAGTTGCTGTGTGCTCATCCACTGCCCTGCACAACTGGCCTCTAACTGCTGTTTCATATACTTTGAGTTTGTTTGAGAGTGCCTTTTATAATCTTGTGACCTGAGTAACCCATGTGGGTGTAGAAGTCAACAATTTAAGGAAGGCAAAAGTAAACCTCTGAACATGTTTTTCCTTGTGGAAATTTGCCTACATAAGTGATATCAAATATGAAGCTCATAATAAAAAAAAATACAAAAAGGTTGGTAAAATCGGATCAGCATTTGGTTTATGGCGTTTTATGATTCCTTATAAACAAAGCGATATCTTGTCTTTTTTTTCGTGGGTTTTATTTCTTTGCATATTATCTCTGAGCCAAGTCAGCGCAATACGGGCAGTCTTGACACTGGCTTGGCGGCACGTATGAGTCAGAGTTTAGAGGGAAGCACGATGAGTAACTGATGGTGATGCGCAGTGAGGTCAGAGCAGTATGTGCACGCAGATGATGCAATGCTAAATGTAGCTGTTTGACTCTACTTTGTAACATTTTTTTGTTTTTTTTGATAATCCTGACAACCAAATTTAGAATCCAACTCATGACATTTATACATGTCTAAAAATGGACCTTTTTGACTAAAACGGATAATGTTGCATTAAGTATGTAAATAAAAAGGATATCCCATAATAGAACCTTTTTCCTTTTAAGTTAACGTGTTTACAGCTGATCCATTTGACAGAAAGTGGGAAATAGCCACTGAATCTTCCAAATGATTGCGACTAAGATTGATAATTTTTCGCGTATTGTCACTAATGGAATTGCAGTGTCTGGTTCTTTAATAATTCATATGTGGAGAAAAGTAAAAGAGGTTTAGCTCTGGAGGAGAAGAAAATCAATGAGGACTAGACGGCACTAATGAGAGAGAAAGTTTGGAGTGCGTGTATGTATATGTATGGAAAAGAGGGAGTCGGTATGGATGGGCAGTCGGGCAGATGGATGGGAACCCCACCCAGGCTCGACTTCTCTCAGCTCAGTGATAAGCTCCTCAGGGGGAAGTATGATTTCATGTGGGCATGTGAAGGAGGGGGGTTGTTTCTGCTTGTTGAGGAAGAATCAGTTCAGCTCTGTCTGGTAAAAATGCTTCTTATCGGTAGATAGTTTGAAGCAGAAGCTTCATTGTCCTTCTATATGTAATTATTAAACCACTGAATTTAAAAAGGAATTTCAGGACATCTGGATAAGGATTACCAAAAGTACAATTGCTTGTCTCATTCTGTTGTCTGGCGTGATTCTTTTTTTTTTTAACGGTTTCCTCATTCTCTCTTCTGTTTTACTTACAGCGAAGCAACAAACAGCCTTCCTATGGATGAGCTTACAACCTCCTGACTGGTCTGAAGAAAACAAATCCCAAAGAAGTTGGTTGGTTGGTTTCTGATTTTTCTCTCTTACTCGGCGTGAGTGAGTGTACTTTCAGCAAGATAAAACATTACCCCCCCGAGAGGAACACCGCCGAAGGGAAAGTCAAAAGCTGGATGAAGCCTTGAGGTCGAGCAGGGCTTTGCTTTCGCATGAAAGTTTGCGCAATTTCAGGAAATCCTGGATGTTTTAATCATCTCCTTAGACTGTCAGCGGAACTAACCGATGGCTAGCTTGGCTCGTCGGACATGTGGATGCTGCTAATGCGGTTTTTGTGTGGGAAAGCCGTCTAGTTGCAAGGTTCCTCGCTCAGGGTGACAGCCATGGAGGGTCTGGAACAGCTCGACATGGTGGGGGATATCAGCCCAGCGCTGGAAGCCACAGAGGACTTCATCCACTGCGTGGATAAGATGCAAGGCCAAGGTCCGAGCCAAGCTCAGACCAATAGCTGCCAGCCCCCGAGGCAGCCCAAGCAGCTGTCGGGTGCGTCCAGCACTGCGCTGGGGAAGCTGAGCTCCAGCGGCGTGTGGGGTCTGCTGGCCAGAGAGCAGCCGGAGGTAGGGCCCCTCGGCCTGGCCTGGGCCGACAACTTCAGCGTGCTGGGGGTGGGGGTGGGTCTGAGACACGGCAAGAGAAGCCGAGCGCGTTCCACCAACGACCTGGCAGCACACACCAAGGAGGGCACCACCAACGCTGGCAACGCCACACCTAGTTCAGTGTTCAAGAAAGGACACAACCGGTCCAGGTCAGATGTCAACTATCGGCCGTCTGCCTACACGGACAACGGACTGCCCGCACTGGACAGCAACACCCTGAAGAACATGATCCTCAACCACCAGCAAGAGGGTGAGTTCACATATAGTGTGTTTGCGACTGTGTGTAATTTCGATCAATTTCTGATCAAACTGGAAAGATAGGTCTCATAATTAAGTCTCATAATTCAATCTAAAATTTGTGAGAAAAATATAGATATAAATGTTTTTTGGCATCTCATACGTTTCTGAATTTCCAAAGTAAGCATTTGGTGCTTTTGAGCAAATGCAATCTGAAAAAATGTCCTAGATTTTTAGCCTCGCAACCTGGAAGCGACGAAATGGAAGAAAAACTAAAAAGAATTGGCCTTTTTGTTCTCCCACAACAGCCGGTCAGCTTGACATATATTTGATTGCATGTGAATCATTGCATAAATTGCTATTAACTGGGCAATTTATTTATATTAAGATTTAGTTCATCAAAAAAACTAACTCGGATACAAAAATATAAACTTTTTGTACCCGACTTGGTATTTTATAGAGATCTGTACCTTTGGGCAGTGATTTGAATCCATTATTTTGGTTGTCAAAGTCGGGTGCATTATGAGAAGTTTTTTTTAGGACCATTCTTTTGGTCTCAAACTTAGGTAAAAAGTCTTGAAGATGAAATAGATGACATTTTTCCAATTAATGAAGAATTCTTCCTTCTTCTAATAGGTCATCAACCGGAGCTGTTAACTGAACATTCTGTTTGATCCTTACCTTGACATTTACGGGTCGATTTATCTATTCATTTATTTATTTATTTATTTGTTAGAGGTAATCGCTGTCAGTCAAATTAATTTTCTACCCACTTTTGCTCCTTCGTTAATGTCAGGGGGGGTGGGGACTGACCCTGGAATCACGTCATATTTTGCCTAATTGGACACTTGTGGCGTGGAGATTGCCTTGACTCGTTGAAAAGGATGTCATGACCTCTGGTGACCAGATCATTGAACCTTAAGTATTCCTAATTCCAGCCAGAAGGCTGGCCCTTACCTGTGAGAGGCATACATACATACCACCTCCTCCTCCTCCTCTTCCTCCTCCTCCTCTGCTCTGATCGACCGCCCATTCACCGAAAGCTTTCTCTGCCTTTGAGAGGCTTTTGGGGGACAGAAGTCCTGGACTATTTGTGCTGCAGATCGAGGCGTGTGCTGTACTTGGGTTGAAGCATCCTCTGAGAAAGCAATAATGATAGAAGATGATGATAACTTAAAATGACACAGCTGTGTTGTGACGGTGCGCGTTCGGGCACCGAGCCTGACACACACACGCGTACACACGCACACACACACACACGGCACAATTGTTTGTGTGTTTTGGCTATCTCGAGGCCTAAGGAGATCCTGAGGGATCCTGAGGGATAATAGCCTGTAATCCTGTCAGCAAATGGACTCAAATGAGGCAAGAGAAGAGGCAACCCAATTACTCGGCCCCTGATACTGGCAGGATTATTTAGTATTAGCATATGTGTGAAAAGACATCAGGCTGTTTAGTTTGGCTCAATGTGTATTGAAAACAGAAGAGTAGCGCAAGGACGGTAATAAGCAGAAAGCAAAGTGATTTAGCCTGGCCTTGCTATACCTCCTCCTTCTTAGAAATACCAAAAATAAAAGGGACTGTTTTCTTTTCATTAGTGACAGCTGGGGGTGTGTAGATGGTAAATGGAAGTAATAATCGCTGTTTTATGTAAACAGCACACATGTATCTATTAATGTCATCTAACCAGTTTTGATGAGACGCTTTTATCGAAGTTCTGTCATATTTTTTTGCCTCTAAAAGCTGAATAAGTACGCATCTTGTGTTGTTGAACCTGCCAAAATGTTTCTAATATTTACAATGGAAACACTCAACTGAGCAGAAAGAAAATACTTTAAAAAAGGCAGAAATATTATACATAAACTTTGAATTTGTGCAAAAAACTGCTACCCGCTCAGGCCTGTCAGACTGTTCAGATCACATGTGTTGGAGGGGCACTTTTCAGTTCAGCAGGACTTTAATTTAACCAGTTGGACCAAGTAAAGAAAAAGGTTTCACTTTTTGTCTCTTTTTTGGTCTAGAAACCCAGCGGCATAAGTAAGGGCTTAAGCCAACCGGCCCTGAACAGGATTCTCTCCTATGTAATTCCATCCGGTCTTAATAGGGTGTTAATACACATTCTCACTTACGTGATGGATTTTGACCAGCCATTTTGGTCCTTTTTATCACAGTCTGAAATATTTCCATTTAAGATATTTATTTACGGTTATCCACTCTCTAAGTGTCGTTAAATCCCTGTTAAATCATTTCCTTGTTATTGATTTTTTTTTACCCGTCAGGTGTAATTTCATAAAGTATTGAGGATTGAGAATTAAGTTCAGCAGGCATATTAGTCTGATATGCTGTTTGAAGTTACCAGTAAAGGTTTACTACCGGGCAACACAGGGAGATTGATGATGATGATGGGCCGCCATCCCATTGTGCCTCCAACAGGGCCCAGATTTAGCTCTGCCAATCTGTAGTTCTGTTCTTCTCAGGGTTATGAAAAAGCTGATAATATACTTTCATGTGAATGTAAATTCCCCCCATTACACAGAACTAGCAGTGGTGGAGTTCATTTTCCTTATTTTAAGCCACTCTTCTTCTTCGTTCCCTCACCCAAATACATTTGATGTTTTTCTTGAGATTGCAATATTTAACACACACTCCCTACTTTTCTTTCCTCTTCTTTTTCTTAAAAAAAAAAAATAAATTATAGGCGGCATTGCAGATATCAATGCGGTCCTGATCACTTTCCTCTAACGCAGATACAGTATCTGCAGAAATCCTGTTGTTTTAGATCGTAGTTTTTCCTGCATGGTTTCCTAGCCAGTTCCAAATCAAATCAATCGATATGAGGTAAAACCTTGAAACGGCCTGTTCCTTGAATCTGAAATCAAGCTGTGTCAGTCTGAATTCCCTATCATGTTGGATCTACCTTAAAAAAAGAAAAGAAAAAGCTTTCCTCTCTAAATGAGCATCACAGATCACAGTAACCGGACGTTAAGAAGAACTTTTGTCAAGTCTCTTAAATCACTTGAATTTTTAGGCTCATGTCACCCAGCAAGCCGTAATCCTAACCATAACTGTGCATGTGACCTTGGTGAGTGTAGTTTTGACCAACATTAATATCTTCATACCATTTAAAGTCGACCTTTTGAAGGTGGGTTTCTGCAGGTCTTATAGAGGAAACAGAAAATTCCTGATCGAACAAGCGTGTTACATTAAGTAGAAGTTTTAAATGCCATTGTGTTGAACACAGGAAAGTCTGTTGAAAATGAAGTGTTAATTGAGTTGGAAGGCTTCTATGTGTGTGTTAGATTTGTACATTGATTAAAGTCAGAACTCATCAGTTGGACATGTTGGCTAATTTAACAAAACACCTTTTTCCTTGTCACAGTGTGTAATTCTAATCGTGACCCTCCCAAGTGTGACGACTGCCAATCAGCTAGACTTTATTCCAGCTAAGTTTATTTGCATATTAATTTGTTCCTTTAACAAAAAAGATTGTTAACATGCAAAGTCCCCCGACCCACAGTGACACCGTGTCTGCTACCGTTTCGATAAGATTGATGGGACAATACACTCGCCGGTTTTAAATTAATCGGAGCTTTGAGCTATTTGGCTTTCCTTTTTTTTGTTTTTTGTTTGCCAGGTGAGTGATCCTGGACATTAAAGATACCAAACGGGACGAAAAGATATAAATATATATAGAAAATTGCCAATTAGATTGGGAAAAGTGGGGGTTTGTAATTGATTTGTCAGTTTGGTTTATGAGCTAAACGTGAATAGTTTTTATTATCTTTGAACAAACCCAGCTGTCCGGCCAGCAGCTTCAAAATGTTTCAGTATATTAGGATTAAAGTGGGGGTAGTTAAGTATATGGGTTGCATAAACGTTGTTGCCAAAGCATTCCAACTAATCCAGTGGAATTTGGTGATGAGGGGAAGACGCCTAAATACTTTATATATAAGCAAACCTTTAGCCTTTAGTGGAGATGCTTTATGTCCTCTGATCTCTGAGAGAAATTAGCTATAGACAACAGAATAGATCATTGCTTATCATTTTATTTTTTCTTTTGTCACAAGTTTCTTCACATGGCTTGTAGTTATTATTTGCCTGTTCTGTGGAGCAGATGGTGCTTTCTATTCCCCTTTTACAGAGTAAACTGTGCGTTTTTAGCATTTGTAAATATGGAACCTTTAGACTTTTGTTCTCGTTCATGAGTCGACGTAATGGTTGATGGTCGTCTCCGTAGGTATGGCTTGCTTGTGGCCGGCTAGATTGTGGAGCGGAAGTAGATTCCATCAAATGTTGGTGTATGTTGAGATTATTTTAGTCGAACCTACAAATCAAGCTAGATACAAATGGGAAAAAATTATCATACTTTAAGGAGCCTTGTTATGTTCTCAGAATCAGAACATTTTGTATTTTATAACAAAGCACAATAATAGTTTTCAAAGGGAAAAAAAATCCCCAAAAACAAAGTATTTATACGTATTTCAAAATTGCCGTTTGCTATCATACATTGTTGCTTTGCCTTCTGAGGAGCTACTGAGTCAGTATTGCCTCTCACATGAGAAATGCTTGTAGAGTACAAGTGTGCATGTCTCACTCAAAGGAAAATTCAATGTATGAATGAATGATTTAAGATATCATACATTTTCAATCTGAATCATTCAGTTACTTTTGTTCATATTTGAGCTTTTCTGATGCTTAACAATATGAAATTAGTATGGATTGTAATGTACATTTGTAAAGGACTTCTTTCCTAAATGTGGCAAGCAATACTTTAATAACTATAGACCAGTGAATTAAACCTTTTTGTCAACCTTTTGCACAAGATAAACCTATTATTACTTCTTCACTTCACTCTTCACTGTGGTGAGTAAAGTGTGGCGATTGGTTGTTTGTTTCAGCTGCAGTAGCTATTTTCTTCACCCCGCATTTTGCAATCAGCTGTGTTATTCTTCCATGTTGTAAATTCTCTGCAGACCTTTGTGCATTATCTCTTTCCTCTCATTTAGTATTAATAACTTCCAAACTCTCATGGCCAGCGCTCATTGTCAGATACGTTTTATGTTAGCTTTGCCAGCAGAGATGGTTACTTTATCCTGCTTTCACTTTATTATGTGAGAGGCTGTTTGGGAGGTAGGTTACCTGCATGCTGTTCATACAGACTCTGCTCTCTCTGATCAGCGTAGTGATTGTTTGCACAAATTTACCATTTTTTTTCTGCATAAACATGCAAATTTCTTGCTGTGAGTCTTTGCTCCATCAGGATGCAGCTAAATGTTTATGCGTTGAAATTTGAAAGATGGAATCCGCTGTTTTATGAGGGGTTTCGGTCTGGTCCGAAAGGAGGATTTTTAGTATTAGCATTGGGTAATTATTCTTTTTGCTCTGACTTCTCAGTTAGTGAGAAGGAATTTTATAGAGTTTTCAACAGCTGACCCTGAACACACGCATGTATGACTCATCTCTCTCTCTCGTTTCTCTTCCTCTTCGTCTGTGCAGCGAATAAGAGCAGCACCGGCACCGTGGTGAAGCAGGGGGAGATGGAGCAGCGCGAGGGGCCCCGCGGCCGCTGGGCGCCCTGCTACGTGGAGCTGACACCCTGCGAGCTTCGGCTGTACACCCTGGACAGCAGCGCCAACCGGCAGCTGGGCACCGCCTACTCCCTGTCCCACTGCCAGAGCGTCGTCTCGCCGGCGCCCGGCGGCCAGTCCCATCAGATGAGCCAGCCCGCCGACCGGCGCACGCTCCAGGCCGTGTTCTTCAACAGCACACGCCTCCAGCTGAGGGCGGCCAACCAGTGGGAAGCCATCGAGTGGAGACGGCTGATGTGGGACAAGGTGCAGGCGACCAGACCGGCGAGGCAGGAAAGCCGCCACCATAAGACCGGGGGCAAAAATCAGCAGGTCACGAAATTCCCCACGCCCATTTCGCCGTCCTCGTCGCCCTCTCCGTCCGGGCTGGACACAAGACCGGATGGCGATTGCGACACCCCCACGTCGGCAAAGGCCCCGCTCTCCTCTCAGCCTAGTTCTGGCTCCCTGAGCAGACCCACAACCCTGCCTTTGTTCACCCAGGCCTACCAAGACGTCATCAGATCTGGCGTGCTTCACCAGCTGATGGATCAGAACAACTGGCGGGCATTTACCTTTGTGCTCACTAAGTCTACTCTGAAGGCCTTCCCTACTGAAGGGTCTGTGTCCCAGCCTGTCCGTCAGCACTCCCTTAAATCCTGCTTGGGTGTACGATATGGTCAGGAGCTGGAGAACGGGGATTTGTGGACCAACAAGAGAGAATTATTCCAGGCCCTTTTCTCCAAAGAGGTACTGACCCTACGGGCTGAGGATCACCTCAGAGCTCAGGAGTGGGTGGAGGCTATGTGGGAGGCTCTGGGAACACGGAAGCCTGCACAAGAAGAAGGGAGAGAATCAGGTGATGGACCTCTAGGCGTCCACGGCGTGCTGCTGAGATCAAAACCGCTCAGGGACAGGAGGCACAAGGAGGCCCAGAGAGCCAAGCGGCAGTCGGTCACCACCAGTTTCCTCAGTATCCTCACCTGCCTGGCTGTGGAGAAGGGGCTCACAGCTCAGAGCTTCAAATGTGCAGGTGAGTGTCCTTTACAAATAAGACCATGCCTACATATATATGTAAAAAAAAAAAAAAAAAAAAAGATCTTTTATATTTTTCATCCTGCCTTATTAGATTGTGCAGCACTTCCAACACCAATGTGTTGGAGCAGTGGTATCAGCTCCTTGATTCTCGGGGTCAAAGAGCTTCAGAAGCTCCGATTTTACTTTTAATTGGAACATTGATTCAGGTTTGATTTTAAAGGACCTTTTTCCTATTGATTTTGTAATCTATTGTTCGAAAAGAATTACTGTGTTGAGGAAATGAATGGAATATCACATGAATTGCTGGAAACTTCCTGACATCATATGCTGAAAGAGCAGCTTCTCTGGGGATGAGGTTTCAACTTTCCACTGTGGGTAAAAATCCGTCCATTTTGTTGTACAGGGGTTGGACAATGAAACTGAAACACCTCTCATTTTAGTGTGGGAGGTTTCATGGCTAAATTGGACCAGCCTGGTGGCCAATCTTCATTAATTGCACATTTAACCAATAAGAGCAGACTGTGAAGGTCCAATTAGCATGGTAAGAGCACAGTTTTGCTCAAAATATTGCAATGCACACAGCATTATGGGTGACATACCAGAGTTCAAAAGAGGACCAATTGTTGGTGCATGTCTTGCTGGTGCATCTGTGACCAAGACAGCAAGTCTGTGTGATGTATCAAGAGCCACGGTATCCTGGGTAATGTCAGCGTACCACCAAGAAGGACGAACCACATCCAACAGGATTAACGGTGGACGCAAGAGGAAGCTGTCGGAAAGGGATGTTCGGGTGCTATCCCAGATTGTATCCAAAAAACATAAAACCACGGCTGCCCAAATCACGGCAGAATTCTCCTCAACTCTCCTGTTTCATCCAAAACTGTCCGTCGGGAGCTCCACAGGGTCAGTATACACGGCCGGGCTGCTATAGCCAAACCTTTGGTCACTCGTGCCAATGCCAAACGTCGGTTTCAATGGTGCAAGGAGTTCAAATCTTGGGATGTGGACAATGTGAAACATGTATTGTTCTCTGATGAGTCCGCCTTTACTGTTTTCCCCACATCCGGGAGAGTTACGGTGTGGAGAAGCCCCAAAGAAGCGTTCCACCCAGACTGTTGCTTGCCTAGAGTGAAGCATGGGGGTGGATCAGTGATGGTTTGGGCTGCCATATCATGGCATTCCCTTGGCCCCATACTTGTGCTAGATGGGCGCATCACTGCCAAGGACTGCCAAACCATTCTGGAGGACCATGTGCATCCAATGGTTCAAACATTGTATCCTGAAGGAGGTGCCGTGTATCAGGATGACAATGCACCAATACACACAGCAAAACTGGTGAAAGATTGGTTTGATGAACATGAAAGTAAAGTTGAACATCTCCCATGGCCTGCACAGTCACCAGATCTCAATATTATTGAGCCACTTTGGGGGGTTTTGGAGGAGCGAGTCAGGAAACATTTTCCTCCACCAGCATCACGTCGTGACCTGGCCACTATCCTGCAAGAAAAATGGCTTAAAATCCCTCTGAGCACTGTGCAGGACTTGTATATGTCATTCCCAAGACGAATTAAGGCTGTGTTGGCCGCAAAAGGAGGCCCTACACCATACTAATGAAGTATTGTGGTCCAAAACCAGGTGTTTCAGTTTCATTGTCCAATCCCTGTATATCCCTTATTCCTGGTAGAGTTGCAGGGTTCCTTGCAGGGCCATACAGAGTCCCTTTTAAGGATGACCAATGAACCTGACCGTACTCATTTCTGGACAGTCAGAGGACGCCGGAGTACCCAAAAAGAACCCACACATCCACAGGGAGAACATGCTCACTCCAGCCAGTTTTTGGACCAGAAACAGCCTGGATAGAGATATTTTATGGAAAAAAAAAACTTTCCTAAACCATTTATATGAAAATGATCTGGGTTCTTAATTACATCACTTCCGAATATTGTTACAAAATTCTGTTAATCTGCATTAAAACCTGTATATATGAGAAGATGGATTTTAAATGCAGGTGGACAACATGACTTGTTAGTCAAAAGCATCCATGATGCTATTGGGGTGCATTACAAGGTAATTGCTATGGAGCCTTATGCAGTTTTGTACTTCTGCTGCTGTTTAGGGAACATCTCTGTCCCAACATTGAACTGAAGCATGGAAGGGTAGGTTTGTCTGACCCACTGTTGCCAAGCTTGAGCTTATTTTGGCATACAGAAGACACAAAATCCCCGGGTCCCTCAGGCTTGGATGGTCTGCTCGTGGGGGCAACTTTCTAGCATGTGCACTCCTGAGAACACTGGAACTATGTTGAAATAGTTTCTAGTCCAAATAGGTTGAAAATTGCCTTATAGCTTGAACTTGTATGTTGAGCATCTATTTGAAGCCTTTTATCAGGTAATTGTTGTTTTATTGTCTTTTTGTATTAAGTCCTTTAACAGATTAGGAACAGTATAGCCCATTCCTGCTCTACTAAAGATCCAGTTAGTCTTCATACCATACCCTTGGATAAACCCATAAATAGGAGGTGGTTCTTTTACTCTCTCTGGGTGTGAAACATGGGCTTCCTCTCACTCCCTGTGAGGAGGGCTTTGAATAATCAAAGCTCCCCTCCCTTTTCATTTGTAACAACTGGCTTATTAATGCAGGGCTGTTTGAAAGGACAGCTGAAACAGGAACAAGGATGGAGGCCGTCCGGGGGCAACTGATGATAATTGGTGGGCTTAAAGCACCGATGGGGAGGAAAAAATGAATGAATGAATGAGAGCAAAAGAAAGCGGCCTGGGGATGCTACAGTGGTAAGCAGTAAGCATAGTTGCTTTTTGGAGGGGTTTCAGGGTAAAGCTGGATAGGCAGGACAGCTGGATATTTTTTTGCTATACAGAGCTCACTCAGTCTGTTTCTTACCCTCCTTTCTCCCTTTTTTCTTTCTCCTGTCAAAAGTTCATTCATCCTCACAGCCTCTTATTGACAGTATTCCGTCATAGTAGATAGCAGACATTGAAAATGAATTAAACCAATTAAATTGCACTATTGATTCCCTGGTTTATAGTATTCATTTAATTATTTCCTCTCAAGAAACATTTTAAAAGTTGTATTCTCAATGGCTTTGATATCTTCTATTTTTTGTGCAACAGCGTTATAACTAATGTATTTTTTTCTTTACCATTCTGTCTTTTTCTCTCCTATTTACTGAGTAGTGTGCACACTCCTAGTTTTCCCCTTTTGGTGTGCTTTCGGCTCTTCTCCAGACTCACTTTGAATGCTTTTATGGTAATAGACACACCTGTATCCACAGAGGCATAGAGTAAAAATGCTAATATAGTCATTACTTTCTAAATTAAAGGCTGAATCACCCTTTAAGTATTTGCATCACTGATCTGAGCTCGGCCGCCTCACTCATAGATCCCTCTAGAAGCCTAAACTGGGCTGCGTTGACGGACACTGAAAGCATAATGTCATTCACACTATTTGTACAGTCAAACAGCGAAGGCATGTTTTTCTGCAACGGGGACAAGAGTCGTTTATCTAAATTTACATAAGATTTTGAGTGTTGTCGGACTATTGCATGTGCTATGTAACAGTGTCCACCTCTGATTGGAATTTTGAAGGTGCTTGAAGGTGCTTCAGACAGAGTTTTGTTGTCTTGGATACTCTGCACATGGGTCTTGGGTCCCATGTGAGTGTGAAGGAAAATCCATTCCTCATTTTAGGTATTAATAAGTAAAGAAAACCAACAACAAGGGGATTGAGGAGATCCGTGAACAGAGAAAGCTGGACCAAACCATGCAAGCTGGGTTTATTTGGCCCAGTCCTTATTTGGAAAATGGCAAACTTCGTGGCTATGCCAGTTTCACTGTGTCACTAAGATGATAAAGACGTAAAGCTCCGGCTGTTGTTTTCATGATTTGATAAGAATAGCAACACTGAAAGTGATCTGAGGGTGTAGTCATCAACACTCCAGACCATTCTTGGCCATCAAAAACCTATTTCATCCTAGATATCTGACTCATTTGCCTTTGTTAAACTGAAAGGAAACTGGATTCTTTAAAAGAAACACTGATCTCTTGATGGTTCCGACAGTTCTCTTAATGTTCACCATTCATCTTCTGTTTCCACCATCACTTCTTTGAACTTGTTTCACGGTCACACTTTGCATATGCATATGCTACATCCATGCATGTATATATTAAGTGATTGGTTATTTAACATCAAAATACAAAAATTTATTCCACTAATTATATATGGGAACAGCTGCATTTTAGATTCCTTTTGAAGGAAATGGCAGTTGTTTGAAGACTGTGACTCCCAGTCGCCCCATAACCTCTCGCCTCACACATGCACACTCACACACACACACACACTCTTGCACACGTATAATGAAGAGTGTGTCCTCAGGATCGGTGGCCCCTGTTGTCGCAGTTGAGAACATTCTCAGGCCCCCAAATAGATCACGTGGGTACGTCAGATGATGTAGGGGGGTTCGGGTGAAGTGGAAATTAGTAGGTACAAGGGAAGCGAGGAGGTAAGAGGTAGATTCACACCAAAAGATGGACAGTTTCACTACAATACACACGCGCGCACACACAGACACCATCTTACTCGTAGTACTCTCCATTCGTCCGCGTTTTCATTTGATTGTTGGTTGCTGTGAATGAGAAACATCAAAGCTCGAGCTTTTCTTGTGTTTTTTTTTCGGTTTTCATTCACGCGTGCACGTGACACACACAGAGCAGAGTCCTGTCAGAGGTGTGGCTTGAACCAGCGCCAGGCAGATGAAAGTGGGAGTCCTCCTTTTGCCCTGATGTCATCTCTCTCTCTCCGCCTGTATCTCTGTGTCTCTCTGTCTGTGTGAGCGGGTCAAAGTGACCTTCTCACTACAGAGAGCCGCAGTACAATCGGTGGACCTTTGAGCTATGTTTGAATTCCCATTCATCTCTCCCACCGTCCCCCGTTTCTCTTCATCCGAGAAAGACGCATAAAAGATAAGAGGCGAGCAGAAAACACAGTTGTTACTCTGTTGATTGTGTTGGGTGGATTCTGAAACTAATAATAGCAATGGGGTTTAAGAAAGTTGCATTTATGTAATAAGTCTGGGAAAGAAGGAGGGATGCAAGGAAAAAAAGTGGAATTTATAGTGTAATTGTCATTTAATGAAGCAAAAACCAACTCATTGACACGCTATTGGTGCCAATTGTGTTCACTGCTGAATTACTTTGGGAAGCTACAGGTTATTTTCAAAAGCGGTTCAGCTCTCATTTCTTACAGTTATGGTTATTTTTGTTCTCACTTTGAAGGCTGGGCCTCACATGCAGGAGCCATGGTTCTTGCATTCATTTACTATAAGTGACCTCCATTTGTTGCTGTTCATCCTCACCCGTAATGTTAAACAGATGTGAAAGTTGCTATGAGCTTTGCAACTTTCTTCTCAATTATTTCACTTAAAAACGCTATTATCGATGTAACCAGCTGCACTTACACTTATATAGTGCCTTTTCAAAACCACCTACAGGCATTTTAAGGGAAAAGCACCCTATTGTCCACATGTATGCTCATCAGTTAGATTTTGATTTAAAAACCTTCATCATCCATTGCCTAGATTTAGCATTAAATAATATTCCCTCCATCTATCTTTATTTATTTGTTTTTTAAATTAATAGAACGGTAAAATAAGGTTAAATCCTTTTTGATTTGATCATATAGACACAAATCAACTGTAGTCTGGTCTATAATATCTCCTTGACTAAAAATCCGGCTACATGTTCTTTCCTTTCCCTCACACTGGTAACTTTAAAAGCTGGCTGGTGTTCTTTATGATGCTGTGTCTGAATTGTATTACTATATCCCAGAAATTAATAATAGATCGTAATTTAAACCCAGATATATTTCACCATTTTTGCTTCATTTTTTTTTCACCCACATATTCAAAATAACAATCATTAATAGTCCAATGCTCATCCGAGAATGTATCTTCTAATGGGTGAACTGAACTGAGCTGAACGCAAAACAAATGTACAATAGTATCTCTGGAGGTAGTCTGATAACTATGCATTACTAGTTATGCATTACTTTGTAAGCGCAAAGTAATCCCAAACATCTATGTTTACGGTGTTCAACTCTTCAGCTATTTCCATTTCTTTCCTTCATTTGAGATTTTGACCAGGATCAGTTTGTCATTTGAGTCATCTACAGTAGTTCCGACTCCATCCTTGCCTGTAACTGCACTTCATTTATTTTCTGTGAAATTTCAGAAGAGTTCCTTTGCTGTGGTTGGTATGTTTTTTGACAGCATGTGTTTGTACGTGTGGGTGTGTTCTCCTTTTCCACTCACGATATAGAATTTGAGGTTGAGGGTAAAGGTTGTTTTTCAGTTTGCAAATGATTTCAGGCTCCTTACGTATGTGCCTTTGTCCTTGCGGTCTAAACTGCAGCAGGCCAAATTTGAGGCCACAGTTGGCCTGAAAGCCGGTCCGGTGGTCAGCTGCTTCCTCGAAGTGACACAGAGTTTCTCAGACTGTTAGCCATCTCCTCAGCCTGCCACTTCCCAACTGATGGTCTGTGGTTTTTCTTGAAAGAGCTTCCACCCAAATCAACAGTATGAGATCATAGCTGTAATTAGCTTAGATCTGAAGTACAAATGTTTTTAATGGTGAGCACCTTGGTAAAGATGAGACCTTCCTGTTGCTGTTGTGGATTTGAATAACTTTTAAGCTGTAGTTTTTCATCATGCAAATGTATGTGTGTGTATATATATATATAACATTTGAATGAATGAACTACTTCTTAAAATGATTAAAATCCATATTATATATGTATATCTACTGTATAGATAGATCTATCTATCTATCTATCTATCTATCTATCTATCTATCTATCTATCTATCTATCTATCTATCTATCTATCTA